GAGAGAGAGAAGAGGGTAGGATAAGAGAGGCTTCTGTGGAGCCAGCCTGAGGGAGAGGAAAGGCTTTTGTGGGGCCAGCCCAGGGGTGGGTTCTACTTACCTTTATTACCGGTTCGCAATGGTGCATGCGCTCTTCTGTGCATGCGCAGAAGCATGCTGATGATGTCAGGGTTGGTGAGCTGAGGCTCCCGCCAGTTTTACTACCGGTTCTATAGAACCGGTGCAAACAGGGGGCAACCCACCACAGGGCCAGCCTGAGGGAGAGAAAGGGAGAGATCTTTGGGGCTAGCCTGAGGGACAGAAGGGGAGAGGAGAGGGTCTATGGGGCCAGCCTGAGGCAGAGAAGGGGATAAGATATGAAAGGCTTCTGTGGGGCAAGCCTGAGGGAGAAGAGGAGTGGAGAGGAGAGGCTTCTGTGAGCCTGAGAGAGAGAAGGGGAGAGGAGAGACCGATCGTAACTACTCATTAATTTTCAAACTCTAAGTGTCAATTTATTAAGCCCGATCCCATAGTTGCATAGCGGAGCAAGGGTATTCAGCTAGTATCCTTTCTTTCCAATTTTCACTTCCATAGAATGTCACAGGAAATACTGTTGCCTGCAGAATAAAGCAGGCAACAGTATTTCCTGTGACATTCTATGGAAGTGAAAATTGGAAAGAAAGGATACTGATACTTTTGAAATTTGATGTTTGAGAAGACTCCAGAGAATACAAAGGACAGTCAAGACAGCAAAGAAATGAATCTTCAAACAAATCAACCCCATGTTCTTACTCAGGGCACAAACGCTTATATTCAAATGATCAAACTGGACACAATATGTGAAGCTCTATGGAGAAGTCTGTAATGTTGGGAAAAGTGGAAGGAAGACAAGAAAAGAATGCACTCTTGGATCACCTGCAGCAAGACAATGGGTGCATCACATGGAAAATCTAAAGGGCCAGGTTAGTGACGAATAATCATGGAGAATCTATGTGATTGGTAAGAATCGATACCGAGTTGATGCACATAATGAATAAAACATGTCAAATATTGGTTAAATTCACACATATATATCCCCACAGGGAGCTATTTATAACTTTAAAAATATCACTCTTGGCCTTGTACATGATACCATTCGAAATATAAAGATGATTAGATTGGTCCTGAAGAATAAGGATATAATATATCACATAATGATAAGTTATTGCATGTGTCAAAAATTGTGCCACTAGATATTCATCCCAGGAAACTGGCTTAGCACAACAATCGCCACAAGCATTTAAGGAACAGCTATTTTTTTCTATATGGAACTTATTCAGCACCCAAAACAAACTTCCTAGTTTTCTAGCCTTAGTTTCAAGCCCCCAGATGGAGCATGACAACTGCTATCAGCCAGCATCAGTTGTGACTTTGCATATTAAACAAAGTCCTTTTGCACGTTTGCCACTTTGTAGGATAAAGAGATTTAAAATTCAGTGCAAGTGGAAAATTATGATCGTAGAAAGCTGATCTACTGTATCTGGTCTATCTTACTCCTATCTATTGCTGCTTTGTAGACTGGCTTTTTCCTCTCTTATTTCCTATCAGATCATGTGGTACTGGTTTCTCTCCCTGTACCTGTTTCTTCTCCCTGATTTTTTTCCCCCCCTGGAGTAAATCTGCAATTGCCTCATCCCTTGCTCAAATACTTTGACTAGATGCCTTACTGGAAGATGTAGGCATCAATATTTTGTATTTGTCTCTTATTCCTTTAAGATGTCTAAATCTCTGTGAGACTACACAATCTCCCAATATAGTTATATTTTGAGCTAAACTAAAAGCAAAAAATACGTTAGAAAAATGTATTCATACCATAAGGATGGAAAGCAAATCCCATACTTTTATGCAAGGAGACAGAAGAATAGGCTCCTGCCAAGTGAACAGAGCTGGATACCATATTTTTCTGGCTTATGTGGGCATGTGGGTTTAGCCTCTGCCTGGCAGCAGAGCATCTGTGTTCCCATTATAAAGAGGGGGAACTATTGGCTGCCTGCCACATCCTAAAGGTTGTAAAATCAAATCATTGTTATGACAAAGAAAAGAAGTGAAAGAAATGAGCACAGGTGTTCAAAGGATGACAACCTGCTTCAGCTCCTGTTTTTGCCAAGGACAGCAGGTGCAAATTTTTGCAAATTTAAGACTAAGGGAATGAAGGAAAAAGAAATATTGTAAAAACCTATTTAATCCATTCAAATGATGCATAGATGCTCATGTCTCTCTCTTTCTTCCTTCATTAGAGCCTTTTTGGCTTGGCTTAACCATCTCGGTTATTTCTTCATGCCTGTCTCAGTGTATCTCTTTCAAACAGCTTGTGTAGGTAAAGTTTCTTTGATTAAATCATGTTGCTGCTTAACACGGACAAGCTTTCCATGTAATTCTCTAAAGATAACACTTTATGCTCTCTGCTAATCCCAATCTAAAAACTGGGCTACTTTTTAAAGAGTCATTTACAACGTTAATGTTTCAAAATGAAATGTGTGCAAAAAAACAATTTAAGAATAGTAGGAGGCTGAAAGGACAAAATAATTAAAAAAAAATCATTCATGTAACACACTTGGAAATTAATTCATGTTTGGGGGCTTCACAGGTTATATTGAACATAGACTTACTGAATGTATACAATGTGCCAAAGTTCTGTCTCAAGAACATGAAGAGTCTGTAACCATGTAGAAAATCTCTATTGGAACATTTGTTTCAGGTCTTTCATAGCCTGGGCAGTTGCTTGACTAAATTGCCTTATACAACCCTGTCTTATAAACTGTCACTTTAAATGCTTACCTTTTCCCTCGGGATCCTCATTCATCATCCTACCTCATCCAGGATTTATTTTTCTAATCCCAGGAATTTGTGTTGCTGTTCCCAGGATTTTGGTGTGTCAACCATCTCACTAGCAGATAATGGCTTCTTAAGCTTTCTTTCACTCCAGCTCTTGTGTAGCTGTCTTTTAAATTTTGTCACACATGATTCCAGTCTTGCCCTTTACAGAGTTTATTGTGTGTTGCACATTATATGCAGTTTTGAGGTTGAGCTGTATTTCTAATAATGGAGGTATGGAAATGGGCCTTTTGATATTTGACTGAAGCATGTAAAATGAAATCATGATGTGGTGGAGGATTTTTTGGTTGTTTTTTTTTTTTTTTGCTATTCTGATTCCAATCTTCTAACTAAATTCTCTCTCTCTCTCTCTCTACATATACGTACATATACATATACATCTTATACATATACATCTTCTGTATAGATAGCCCTTCTCTGCAATAGGAAGACCAATTTTTCTTGTGCATCGAAATTAATGAAAGGGCCAATGAAGTTGATATAAAGAACAGCTTATTTGATTCCATTTCTACTACATTGTTATTCGATAATGCTGTGCCAATGAGTTTTTTAAATCTCTTGTGATTTTAAAAAAGAAACAGGCTTTCATTTTCTACATTTCAATTAAACCTCAATTTAAAAACAAATAATGATTTCCCAGGGAGCTTTTTCAGATGAGGAAATATGGGCCAAGCGGGAGGCTGACTAAGAGAGATGTTACAGAAAATGATAAGATCAGAACCTACAATTACCCACAACAACAAAAAATAAGTTTAAGAATGTTATCTGTCTCTATCTCTATCATCCTTAATTCATCTGAAGGCATTTAAGGGCACCATAGGAATGAGGCAGAAGAAAGAGTCTTTTTTTTTGACAATAGAAGAAAACATTTTGGAAATTGGAATACAATTCCGGTACTGTATTTTTGAGATGTGTTTCAATCAGTATATTTTTCTAAACATGCTTTTAAAATAAAACCGAACCTAGTTTCATTGATTGTTCGCTGTGTGTATATTGTATGCTACTTTATAGATTTTTCAAGGGCATGAGATCATGGAGGAAAATGTAATAAATTACTTTTTCTCCTGTAATAAGTTATCTGAATAAAGTCATTTTACCATGGATTGGAATCTGTGACAATGCTTTTGTACATAGTATATATGAGTACAGGGAAGACTAGGGCCAGGGATTGGCCAGTGCAATGGAAAAGAATAAATCCATTCTGACAAGGAAAGTAAAGATTAAACTGAAAAGAATTGTAGCTTCAGTTTTAGTTCATTAGATTAACAACTTGCATATAAATAATTATTGTAAAATTGTTGTTATCAAACATGTTGGCAAACTTTTGTCAAAGTTTCTCAAACTTTTGTCAAAAGGTGTTGAAAATAAAAATAAGATATAAAGTTGCAAGGTGTAAAAGAAGTTTTAATGAAATTTCTTTATTGTTTAGATACAGAGATGCTATAGAGAGACCTTCTGGATTCAGTTACTGCCTCTACATCTGATCTTAAACTTTTAGTAGAACTGATAATGCTTCTTGTAGAAGATTACTGGAGTAAAACTATGTTTACTGTTACAAGCATCTATTAGAACGGTATGGGAGTTGTGAAGTCCTTGGTAGTCTCCGAGCTTGGTGGTTTTTTTGCGACATTTGATTACTAAACTAGGTAACATCATAACTTAGGATCCCACAGTTTAACCCTGAGCTACAAATATTCTCTTCTATTGGTATGGGAATTTGGAACAAGGTGAGGTGAGTTGGGCCGAGAGAAAGTGACTGGCCCAAAGTCATCCAGCTGGCTTTCATGGCTAAGGTAGTTCTAGAACTCACGGTTTCTGGCTTTCTAACCTGGTGCCTTAACCACTAGACCAAACTGGCTCTCTTTTTGTAATTCTTGTAAATTTCTTGTAATTTTGCAAATCAGCTATAACATATCCCAATGTACATAAAAGTATTTAACACTACAAAGCATAAAGTAAAGTACTGAGTACTGAAGAATTTCAAGACTGATTGGCTGATTGGAACATTTTGGATATTATTAAGAACACAACATTCTCCACAAAAAAATGAAATTCTTTGCTTTGGAGATGATTTATATTGATCTTCTTTGCTCCAGAGAACACTAATCAGTAGTATATAGTCATTTTCCTCCTTTCTCTTTATCTAGGATTGCTCCAGCCTTCATCTTGCTGCTTATTCAATAAAATTGTATTTGCAGAAGGACTCATCTGGTGTAAAAAGAAATTTCATGAAAGCTGCCTTAGAAAGGGCAAGACTGAATTCATCCCAGAAGGAAAATGTCAGAGTAATTTGTATCATTCACTAGTCTGCCGTGTCACTTTTATTCCTTTGCTTTTGGTAGATCAGTGCCCCCAAATCAGTGTTTTCCTTTCATGTAAAGTAGAGTGACAGAATTTATCGACAAATTGGAAAGAGTTCAGAGGATAGCTGAAGAGATAATGAAGGCAATGGCACTCTGAAGCAAAAAGTCCAGGATGAAAGAGATAAGCAGCATTGCAGTGACCAAGGATTTGCCTGGGTGAGTGGGGGGGACTATGCATATCTGAATGAGTTACCCAATAGTTAGCAGTACTGATATGCTTCTGTGAACTATTTCTAAACAACAGGCAAATGCCTTCAAGAAAGAAGAGACCTTTTCCAGTCCATGAATGCTACATTAAAAAACCTTGAACTTTTTATAGGAACTTCTCTCCTCAGAAATATTATTTTCCTCTTTGCTATGCCAATGTTACACAAATTTCTGATCTTTTTCTGCATTAGGGGATCATTCCCTCCTTTTTAGCTTTAGCTGGTTTTCCACAGGGACACACTCAGTATACATCCTGCAAAATGAACTTCATGGAATTTATATCTGGGAACAATTTCTATTTTAATGTTGACATTTGGGAAAAGCAATCTATATGTTGATTCCACAAATCTGCAGTCTGTCTCGTTTTTCTTAGGGATTTGAAAATGTTAGTCATTGTATTTTCCAAGATATGTATAATCCTGAAATCAATGCTTTATTACTTTGAAATGTAGGTAAGAAATTTTTTAAGTAGTCAAATTCTTTTATATTTCAGCTAAGAATTTTTGATAAATTCATTGGCTCTTAACTTCAGGTAGGAAGTCTCCCAGTCTGCTGACCATCTAATACTTGTGTACTAAGGCATGGGGATTACAGTACTGTTTGGAGCTGAGAGCATGCATCTCAGTGGCTATTAAAAAAAGAGATGGTATTGAAAATCAATTCTCTCCTTGAAGAGCTGTTTTATAAGGTATAATAAGATGAGCAATTTAATTCTAGCAATGAAAAAAACAAAGAGGCCAGGCTATAATTTTCTTTTCCCAGAAAGTGCTGCTGTGAGGATAACTTCGTACAGAAGTATGAAAGAGAGAAAGCTGTACAATCTTTCTGAGGTTAGTCTTTGGGTTTTGGTTTTTCTAATCCCCCACCACACATTGTTAAGGAGTTACTGGGCAGGTCCATATTCATTAAATCACTAGATTACTGTCTAGATATCTATGTAATCACTAGTTTACTATCTAAAACCACTAGATTGCTATCAGCAGTGACCTGAAGCCTCAGGAGCACCAAAACTAGTGATATACCTGGCAAAAAGTGCCAAAAGGTGATTTTTAAAATAATCAGCACAGCAAAAAACTTCCAGATTTCAAACCATAGATTGAAGTCTGGATTTGGCTTGAGTTTGACAAACTTTAAGTGATTTCCTGCTTCCTGTTAGTCTTCTTGTTTGACTATGTGCTGTCAACTATTGGTTACTTGCACTTTTAGCTTTTTTTATTGAACATTTATATTTTTGTTGGGAATGGTTACATGCAAAGCATCATGAAAATCCAAAGGAGCAGCTGCAGGACCAGCTTGCTATATGGCAGCATCCTCTTCCAACATTTCACACTTTGACCATATTCCTGATCCTGATGATTGTATATTTATATGAGCATTCTAGGAATGGTGATGTGACACTGGGCCAATGATAATGTCAATAGTCCTCTTCTTACTGGAACAGACGTTACATGACCTATGCTTTTGTGGCTTGCTTTGGGGTTGTTAGCTGCATTTAATCATATGCCAGTTTGTGGTAGATTCCTGCAGGTTGTTGAGGCGGTGAGTCATGAATGAGTTTGCCCTTCACTGAGCTGCAGGGACTTCCAGATCTCATTTTTATTTGAAAGAAATGAATTATTGGCATTTAAATGGAGCTTGCACAACACCACAATGGATTATTTTTGATATTATTTTACTATTATTATAGTCAATTTCAGTAAAAGAAGTTGTAGACAATATGTGGAGCTTATCTTCCTTTTAACAGTTCAGACAAGTAGATGTCTCAGTCTATCTGAGCAGCTTCCAAAGGTTATCTAAATGTTCTGATTTAAAAATAATTTCAGCTATTATAGTCTTGGCAATGTTATCTGGAGGTGTCTGTCAAAGTTATCTTCTGGCAATAAATTTAGATTTCTCTCTCTCTCCATCCCTATCCCTATCATATCTACCTGTATCTTGCTCTACCTGTATCTATTATCTATATCTTTCATCTCTATCATGTCTGTCTGCCTGTCTGCCTGTCTGTCTGTCTGCCTGTCTGCCTGTCTGTCTGTCTGCATATCTATCTATCTATCTATCTATCTATCTATCTATCTATCTATCTATCTATCATCTGTGTATTATATTTAAATGTCAGTGCAAAATTTGGTGGTTTATATAGAAAAGATATAAATTAAAACTTTACCATAAAAGTAACAACTACTAAAGCAGTAGTAACAACTACAAAAACAATACAGAAATGAAAATTATTTCACATAAAAAAGCCTAGATAAGCAAAATCTAGGCTTTTTGTCATCTGCATGACAAAATCACTCAGATTCGGGAAGGTCTGGACTCCGACTGGGTAGGTCCAGCGAGGGTGACGGAGGCAGGTCTTGAGAATGTTATCTGGGACGAGTTTGATCCTGTGACCCCAGATGACGTGGACAGGATTCTGGGTAGACTGAACGCAACCACATGTTTGTTGGACCCGTGTCCCTCCTGGTTAGTACTGGCTTCCCGGGAGGTGACGCGAGGCTGGCTCCAGGGGATTATAAATGCTTCATTGGGTGAGGGTACCTTCCCTGCCGCCTTGAAGGAGGCGGTGGTGAGGCCTCTCCTCAAGAAGCCTTCCCTGGACCCGGCAGTATTGGCTAATTATCATCCAGTCTCCAACCTTCGCTTCGTTGCGAAGGTTGTTGAGAGTGTGGTTGCACGACAGCTTCCCCAGTACCTGGATGAAACATCGTATCTAGATCCATTCCAGTCGGGTTTTAGGCCTGGGTACAGCACGGAAACGGCATTGGTCGCGTTGGTTGATGATCTCTGGAGGGCTCGGGACAGGAGTTGCTCCTCTGACCTGGTCCTGTTAGATCTCTCAGCGGCTTTTGATACCATCGACCATGGTATCATGCTGCACCGGTTGGAAGAGTTGGGGGTGGGAGGCACTGTATTACGGTGGTTCTCCTCCTTTCTCTCCGACCGGTCGCAGTCTGTGTTGACAGGGGGGCAGAGGTCGACCCCGAGGCCCCTCATATGTGGGGTGCCGCAGGGATCAGTCCTCTCGCCCCTTTTGTTCAACATTTATGTAAAGCCGCTGGGCGAGATCATCCATGGTTTCGGGGTGAAGTACCATCAGTACGCTGATGACACCCAGCTGTACATCTCCACCCCGGACCACCCCAACGATGCCCTTGAAGTGATGTCCCGGTGCCTGGAGGCCGTACGGATCTGGATGGGGAGGAACAGGCTCAGGCTCAACCCATCCAAGACTGAGTGGCTGTGGTTTCCGACGTCCCGATATAGTCAGCTGGTGCCATCGCTGACTATTGGGGGTGATTCATTGGCCCCCACGGAAAGGGCTCGCAACTTGGGCGTCCTCCTGGATTCACGGCTGTCTTTAGAAGATCACTTGATGGCCGTGACCGGGAGGATTTTTCATCAGGTTCGCCTGATCCGCCAGTTGCGTCCCTTTCTAGATCGGGACTCCCTACACACAGTCACTCATGCCCTCGTCACCTCTCGTCTGGACTATTGTAACGCTCTCTACATGGGGCTCCCCTTGAGGTGCACTCGGAGGCTCCAACTGGCGCAGAGTGCGGCCGCGCGGGTGGTTATGGGAGCAACATGGAGCTCCCATGTAACACCTCTCCTGCCGAGCTGCACTGGCTCCCGGTGGTCTTCCGAGTGCGCTTCAAGGTTTTGGTTACTACCTTTAAAGCGCTCCATGGCTTAGGACCTGGTTATCTACGGGACCGCCTGCTACCACCAATAGCCTCCCACCAGCCAGTACGCTCCCATAGAGAGGGGCTCCTCCGGGTGCCGTCGGCCAAACAATGTTGGCTGGCGGCCCCCAGGGGGAGAGCCTTCTCTGTGGGGGCACCTACGATCTGGAACGAGCTCCCCCCGGAGATACGGAGGATCCCGGATCTTCGCACCTTCCGTCGCGCGCTTAAAACGTTTTTATTTCATCAAGCTGGCTTGGCCTAAATCATCTCCTCTTTTAAATTTAAATTTTAAACATAAATTTTTAATCTGTTTAATTATGGGGTATTTTAAAATTCAGCCTAAATTATTTAATTTGTTTTAATTTATTTTAGATTTTGTATTTCCTGTGTTTTATCTTCTGGCTGTTCACCGCCCTGAGTCCTTCAGGAGAAGGGCGGTATAGAAATTTAATAAATAAAATAAAATAAAATAAATAAAATAGAGATGGTGATGTTCACATTAGGGGGATATGGTCATCCATGTGAGCCTGTCTTTTTATAGATATAAATGGGACTTTGGCTTATGTATATTATAATTATATATCTGATTCTTGTATAGGAAGTCCTTGTTTAGTGACTGCCACATTTAGTAATCATTCTCAGTTACCATGGTGATTAAAAAGCAACTTAATGACCATTTCTCCCATTTACAACCTTTGCAGGTCTGTAAAGCAAAGGAAAGTTGAATTAAGATTATAAGCATGGTTGTGGTTTCACTTAGAGGCCGTTTCACTTAACAACCAAGTTGGTCATAATTGTGATTACTAAATGAGGTCTACCTGCATCACAAATTATTGGATTGGATCTTATCAGAAAAATCCTGGTCCCTTAGTAGCCAGTATCAGGTCTAGATACTGAACCCTACATCACATAGCTGAGAAATACCCTAGTTCATTGAAAGGAACCATCTCTGTTGCCTTTATAGATTCAAGGGTTTCCTTTGACTCAATACTGTGTGACAGAATCTGGAGGAAATTGGCTGTTATATTGATTGCTCACTGTATCCTCAAATTAATAAAAACACTGCATGTCAGTGCTACTGTGCAAGTTAAGAAAAATAACAATTATGATTCCACCTATACCCATTCAAATAGCTGTTAAACAAACGTGTATTCTTTTCCCATTACTAATTAATTTGTATATTAATGAAGTTGAAGACTTTACTAACCCAGAATTCCATTCTACATTTTTTGCCCACCCTTACCCCCCATTTCTATTCTCTATGCTAATGGTCTGGCCCTGCTATCTGTAACTCTTGAGTGGACATGCATAAATGCCTTAAAGTTATGTTATTTTATTGAATACTTTGAAATTAATTATTTGAAAAGACAGGTAGTTGAGAATTTAGTATTCTCAAGAGAGTGCTGTAAATCTACAATTAA